TGCTTGTCCTATTTGCCAAGACTGCTTGCCTCTGGTGGAAAAGTCCAACTAGGTCCGATCTAATGAACTATCATTCTGATGGCAGTGTCTGAAGTGTCCATATTTAATTAACTTATAGCCTAAACATGCATTGGTTAGAAGTACTTAAGACAGAAAGGAAAACTCAGAAATAAGATGCAATAAATGACTCTAGAGTTCTGCAAAAAATACAAATAATAAGGGTTCTATCTCACAACAACATTATCAAAGGAAGTACTGAAACAAAATCCTTTATAGGACTCTACAAACTCCACATGGATTAAAGGAAAATCAGATTGTATTGGTTTTAGTATAAACTTGCATTAAACCATACAAGTAGGCTAATGTTACAGCTCTTGGCATTCAACATAGAAATGTTACAAGAATCTTAATATCTGTGTTATAAATATACTAATGTTCAGCCAGAAGCTTCTATCTATTAACTAACTGCTTCTGTATTTTCAGCTGTAAAACTTACTGTAAAACACTAGTTGTTAGCCTGTCTTTGCAATATCAATCCTCTACCTCCATTAAACTTTTTCATTGCTACTGCTGTTATGTGCTGAGTCACCTGTGACTCATAGAGACCCTATGGATAACAGCCCAAAACTCTGTTCTTTCCTGTGCCAATCTTATGGAATCACAGACCATGGCCTGTATCAGGTGCACCTCCGTCTCCAGAGTGACTTCGTTGCTCCAGACTTTCCAAACACAATATGTCTTTTAATTTCCTTGCTGCTGGAGCCAAGAGTGTTTATTGTGGAGTCAAGGAAACTAAAGCTGTTTACAATATCAATCTTTTCACCATCCATCACGATGCTGCAAAGCGGCCCAGTTTTCTTGATAGTGCGCTTCAATCCATAATGAAGGTTGCAGTCCTTGACCTTCTGCAGCAAGTGCTTCAAGGTCTTCCGCAGTTTCAGCAAGCAGGGTTGTGTCATTTGCCTAATGCAGATTGTTGATGAGTCTTCCTCCAATCCTGATACATTTCTTCTCAAAGAAAGGTGATCCGACAGAGTGTGGAAATTATAAGTGTGACATCAGGATTGGTGGAAGATCCATCAACATTCTACATTATGCCGATTACACAACCCTGCTTGCTGAAACTGAGGAGGACCTGATGCACTTGATGCAGAGGGTCCAGGACTACAGCCTTCAATATGGATTGAGGCTCAATATCAAGAAGACAAAGATTCTCACCACTGGACCAACTGGCAGCATCAGGATGGAAGGTGAAGAGATTGAGATTGTTCACAGCTTTAGTTTGCTTGGCTCCACAGTCAACACTCTTGGCACTAGTAGTCAGGAAATTAAAAGACGTACTGTGTTGGGAAAATCTATTGTAACAGACCTCTCCAAAGTAATGAAGAGCAATGGTGTCACTCTGGAGACTAAGGTGTGCCTGATACAGGCCATGGTCTTTGCAATCACTTGTTATCCGTCAGAGAGTTGGACAATGACTAGGGAGGACAGAAAGAGAATTGATGCCTTTGAGCTGTGGTGCTGAATGTACCATGGATTGCTAAGAAAACAAACAGGTTCATCTTGGAGAGGATTAAACCGGGCTGCTCCTTGGAAGCAAGGATTCTGAGGATTCATCTGACATACTTTAGACATGTTGTAAGAAGGGACAAGTCCTTGGAGAGAGACATCATGCTTAGGAGGGTGGAGGGATGGCACAGGAGGGGAAGACACTCTATGAGGTAGATTGATTCAGTGACTGGGGTAATCAGGGTAGGTGTGTCAGAGATAGTGAGATTGGCACCGGGTTTAGGGCTGTTGTACATAGGGTCGCTAGGAGTCGTAAGAGACTTGACAGTACATAACAACAACAATATTAACACCACATGCAAGCAAGATTTTGCTGAAAATTATCCAAAAACAACTGGAACAGTACATTAACAGAGAACTGCCAGAAGTGTAGGCTGGGTTTAGAAAAAGCCATGGTACTAGGGATATTATAGTTAATGTCAGATGGATCTTGGGTAAAAGCAGGGAGTACCAGAGGAATGACCATCTGTGTTACACTGATTATGCAAAGGCGTCTGACCCTGTGGATCACAACAAACTGTGGCTGACTCTGAGAAGAATGGGAATACCAGAACACTTGATCGTTCTAATGCGAAACCTATACTTGGACCAGGAGGCAGTCGTCAGAACAAAGCAAGGGAACACTGCATGGTTCAAAATTGTGAATGGTGTATGCCAGGAATGCGTCCTATCTCCATACCTTTTCAATTCATATGCAGAACAGATTATCTGGGAGAATGGGCTCTGTGAGGAGAAATGTGGCTTTTTCATCAAGTTTGATTTTTTAACAATTTGTTCCCCAACTGAAGTAATCAGAGGGATCTTTAAAAAAAAATACTGATGCCTGGCTCTCATCCTATGCACTCTTATTTGTTTATGGAGTACTACCTAAACTCTAAGATGTTAAAAGCTCCTCAGTTAATTCTAGTATGCAGACAAGTTAGGAACCACTGCTTTATATTACTGCACTAACAAGACAGGAAAGACTATGTGAAGATGTGTACTGTCCTAACATAAGGAATAAGTAGGCAGAGCACTGCACCGACATTTTCCCTCCACAGCCATTCTTTTACCACACTCCTCATAGGCAAGGCTACAGCTCAATGTCTAACTTTGTTCTCTGAAGATAACAATTCATCTTCATTTCATACCTGGATAGAACCATTGCATGCAATAATCTGATTTTTCATTTCTTCATTCCATAAGCCTCGCTCAGTAAGGTCTTTCAGCAAGTGGGGATTCACAATCTAAAAGGAAAATCACAAATGACAAAAAGTAATAACAATGACGGGGCTTACACGGGCGCACAGGCTTGAAGCTTAAAGTGAGATCACTGAACAGTTATTTAACAGTAGATTCCTTAATAAATATTTTTTACAAAATGAAGAGTCCATTGTACTACATACACAAAAACTTGGTATCTCTTTAAGAAACACGATGTTTTCACGTTAAAAGAATTAATATTGCATAAATTGGATAAATCTATATGGATTTTTGCTTAGGTAATAAAACATGAGATATTTAAGAAAAAAACTTGAACTGTAACCTCTCCAAATCTTACAAAAATCTATTTCAGAATATCTGGATATCAATAAATAAAATGCCTTTACATTAGTGGGTCTCAATTCTAGCATTACTTGAGAACCTAAAAAAACAACACTGGTCTCAGTTGCTAGAAATGATGACTGGTTACCAAGGTAACTGTCTTAAATGATACGATTACATACCAGTGTATTATCTATTTAAGGATGTGAGGTTGCAATGTGTGTAACAATAACAGAGTGGTTAAAAACATGTAACTATAATATCAAGCTTCCTTCATAATTCAACCCACAATCACTCATTCCTCCAAAAGATATTTATTAAATGCCTATTATTCAGTGATAAAAAATAAAAGAAATAATAGAGATGAAATGACTGACTTTATTAAAATTTGTCCTCAAAATAAGAAAAAGAAGACATACTAAATCTGTGAAAGCATTCATTCCCAAAATCAGGTTTTTGTGACATCTCTCCATAGGTCTGGTCTTACCTGAAATTCCCCTGACAAGACTCGGCGAGTGTAGATGTTGCTGGTATAAGCTTCAATAGACTCATTATTCCCAAGTATCTGAGCAGTTGAAGCAGTAGGCATTGGGGCAATAAGTAAACTGTTTCTTACACCATACCTAAAGAAAAGGAAATTATTCAGTGCAGGTCATAAAGACATAATCTAGCAGGAAGGCAGCTAATTTTAAGCCACTGGAGTACATGCACTTTCTGTAACATCTTATATGTATTTAACTCACATGATGAACTTTGAGCTTAACTCTTACTGCAAGGCTGCATCCCCACAGTAAGCATAGTATAGTTACACCTTCTTAAATGCTCAACTCCTAAAAAGTATAAGCACAATTTTTATAGCTGGAAATCTTCACTACTTCTCTGCTGGCTGCAGTAGAGCACTCAGGTATCATATCACGTGCCCAGAATGGACACTAAGAAATGACCCTGAGGAGTTCTAGATCAGCTTTTTATTAGTGCACAAACAATATGAAGGTAAAAGCTATGTGTGTGTCTTACCACACAGTGCATGGGTAAGCAGAGTCTACTGTCACACTGAACAGTTATTCTTTCTTTACACCCATCAAACTGATCATTTTGAAGTGACTATGTGATCTGTGCTAAGATCCTTCTGAAAACAGGATATGTGAGTGGTCAGAGTCAAATAATGTCATAATTCTTCATTAGCTGTAAAAAGGGTTAAAAAAAATAGGCTCAAGATCTATTTCTGATTTCTTCAGTGAAGTGGGGAAACGACAGCCTTTTTAACGAATGGTGTTGGCAAAATTGGAAAAATATCTGCAAAAGACTCAAGCGAGACCCACACCTCACTCCATACACAAAAACCAACTCAAGGTGGATCATGGACCTAGGACTAAAACCAAGGACTA